TCCGCTTTGTCTTGGGGGTGAAGGCCGAGGGTGCGCCAGGTCACAAGTGGTCCTGGTGCATAAAGATCTTTCACAGTAAAACCATCAGCTTCCATGTGCTTTCAAATTGAGAGCAACCCTCTGCAGCGGGGCTGCTGTAACTTTCTACTCAGTGGAAGATAAGTGCAGCGGGGCTGCTGTAGCTAAGCGCCTGATGAAGCGTACTTTAGGTCACCGACCTTTCGTTCTGTACAAGAACCAAGTATGAGTTAGCGGATCGCAATCCGCTAACTCCAAGAGTAATTATTGCCTTCCCAAGGCTTATTGACTCTTCGGTTTAAATTCAAAAATGATTTTTATTTATTTATTATCCTGAGTTTAAAAGTTTAGATTTTCCTAACTATGCTAAATATACAAATTAAAATCAAATACATGCATAACTACTGGCTACCTAGTACTCTATTATAGTGGCTCGATGCTTGAAATCGTAAGTAATTCTAACCTGGTAATATTATCACGTCTGAATAGAGAGCGATGCCATTGATGAAGAAAATAAGGTGAACTTTTTGAGGTCTACCGCCGCATCGATTAATTTTTCATTCTAACAAATAATATACCAGGATGGCGTACTCACCTGAACAATACTTCGCTAATAAAGAGCGCGTCAAAGCAGCTCAGAGGCGTTATCACCAACGTACACGCGAAGCACGCTTGTTTTATCAAAAAGGGTACGACGATTAAAATAGACCCCGTACCGAATTCTAGTTTGAGTGTGGTCACACCATGCACATCTCGCGTGACACATACACACCTGTTATCAGGGTTCGTGTAACCCCGTTACACCCTCCCCCATTAAGATTAGATACATTTACAATTCTAGTCGATTATTGCCTCAACGAGGCTCGCGTGTCCGTTAGACAATGCAACTCAATTTACTGGAATTTAACAACTTCTTTGCTCAATGAGCCCTGTGTCCACGACACGAAAATCACCAAATCTCGCTAATTCTGACAGCGAGCACGGGCAGAGCCCAACTTCGTCCCCCGCACGTGGTGCGATGTCGGACAGTGCGTCCACGGCACCGGGGTTGTATATCCTAGGCTTAATGAGCACAAGCGTCGCGCACGCTATCAGTGACGAACGACATCATTGAAGATGTAGGGTTGGTCGACTACGAGTCTGACACCCCTTTTCCAGCATGGGATGACGAGGAAGGCAAGCTGCACCAGCAGCGTCATACGAGCACTGCTCGCGCCTTCGGACCCCATGTCCGTTCTCTGACTTCTCGTCAACTGAGGAGCGTGGTATAATCACCAATGACCTCGACAGGGAACAGAGGCGGCAGCTTGAAGCTGCTCAGAAGGCGGCTCTAAAGCGCGCCCATCCACGGTGGTCATTGACTCTCGTGTGGAATATGACTTCCACCTAGCAGATCTCGCCGTGGAAGCGAAGGACGTGGTAACTCGATCGTTACGCGTTCACATCATCGGGCCCCGGCCAGAACGGATGATGAAGTTGCCACACGGAAAGCTCTTTGAGCTCGTTTCTTGGTCCCACTAGAAATTCCGTTAATCGTTTATCGCACTCGTCCAAGTGCAAAACGAGGTGGCTAGAGGATGCGGTATTTCATATCCTCATCATGAGCAACCACAATTCGTGGTGTATCCGTTGAATCGGTACTAAAGTATAGCAACCCGTTATTCAACGAATATCGGTGCAATCGTGCACGCAGTCTTTGTGA